CGGAGGGCTAGCTGGGTAGCTAGCTAGCTAGCTAGCTAGCTAGCTAGCCTGCTGGCTAGCTAGCTGGCTGGCTTGGTAGCTAGCTAGCTAGCTGGCTAGTCAGCGGACGGAGGGCCAGTTCGACGGGCAGCTAGCTGCGTAGCTAGCTAGCTGGCTCGCTGCGCTAGCTGCGGGTAGCTAGCTAGCTATCCAGCTAGCTAGCTAGGCTAACAGCCAAGTGGCTAGCTAGCTATTTAGCTAGCTAGCTAGCTGGCGGGGCCGACAGCTAGCTGGCTGCTGGCCAGTCAGCAAGATGGCAGGCCATTCCACCCACGTAGCTAACTAACGAGCTAGCTAGCTAGCTAGCTAGCCAGCTAGCTAGCTAGCCAGCTAGCTAGCTGTCCTTGGTTGACCAGCTGGCTATGTAGCTAGCTAGCCACTGGCTAACTAGCTAGCTAGCGTCTGGCTGCTGTCTGCGAGAGTTGGCTAGAAAGAACTCAAATTATTAAAAAATGTGTCAAGTAGAGTAAGAGCAGCATCTGCTGCTGCTGCTGCTGCTGCTGCTCTTGCTATTTATTCGCCAGGAACGCTGCAACGAGTTGCTGCTGCTGCAGCAGCAACTTCTTCCGCCGGGGCTCTCTGTGGAAGAGAGCAGCAATCTGCTGCTGAAGCTGCAGCAGCAGCAGCAGCGAAGTCCTCTCGCTGCATTGCTGCAGCGCGGCAGCAGCAGCGCGCACCTGCCCTGGTGTCTCGGCCTCGCTGCTGCTGCTGCTGCTGCTGCTGTTGGCGAGGAGGCAGGAGAGAGCCGCTGCTGCTGCTGGCTGCTGCTGCAGCAGCTCGTTCTCAAAGTTGCAGCAGCGCTGCAGCAGCAGCAGCCAGAAGTCAACAGCAAAGTGGCGTTTGAGCGGCAGCTGTACAGACACCTCAGGCCGCAGCAACTGCTGCACCTGCTGCTGCTCCCGCTGCTGCTGCTGCCGGTTCAGTGGCCTGTTCTCCTTTTGCGTCTCTCCCTCGAGCTGCTGCTGCTGCTGCCGCTGCTGCTGCTGCTGCTGCTGCTGCTGCAGTTCTCTGCCGAGCAGCAAATGCCTGCCTAGCAGCAAGTTTGCTGCTGCTGCTGCAAGGCCTCTAAGGTCAATCCCGTGGAGGGCCCAGCTCTCTTTAGGGTCTGAACAAACGCAGCAGCAACCATCGAACCTGCTGCTGTTCTGCTGCTGCTGCTGCTGCTGTTGTTGTTGCTGGTGTTGCTGCTCTACTGGGCCAGCAGCGCCGCGTGATGCAACGGCTTGGCAGGCAGTGAGCAGCAGCAGCAGCAGCAGCACCAACGCCAAGCGCAGCAATAACAGCAGCAGCATTAGCAGCAGGCAGAACTTGCAGGAACACTAACGCCAAGAGCAGCAGCAACAGCACCAACACAAGAAAACGCAGCAGCAGCAGCAGCAGCAGCAGCAAACCTTGGCTCTTGTCGCCGAGCAGGGGCTGCAAGATGCAGGTGCTGCAGCAAAGGGATCGGGAGTCGATCCCGCAGCTCCAGTCGATCCCCAGCACTTCCAGCACACTTGCTGCACCCTCAGGAAGCAACGGGTGCTGCTGCTGCTGCTGCTGCTGCTGTTTGGGCTGCGGCGGAGCTGCTGCAGCAGCAGCAGATACGAGGAAGCTGCTTAGGCTTATGTTGCAGTGCAGCAAGCCCACCTATGAACAGATGCAGCAGACACACAGGCTCAGCGCTAGCGCTAGCAGCAGCAGCAGCAACAGCAGCAGCAGTGGCAGCAGCAGCAGCAACAGCAGTAGCAGCTGCAGTCCACTGGTCACCTGGTGCAGCTGCTGCAGCAGGATCAGCTGCTCGTACACCAGATAGAGGCAAAGTTCCTCAGGGGGATGAGCGCCCCTGCAGCAGCAGCAGCAAAAACGTTCGCAGCAGCAGCAGCAGCAGCATTTGGGGCAGCAGCAGCAGCGGCTGCCCGGCTGCAGCTGCAGCGAAGCAATGCCGGCTGCTGAAGTACCAGCAGCAGCAGCAACAAAACCGCAGCAGCGCCTAAATAGATAACAGCAGCAACTAAAACGTACGCAGCAGCAGCAGCAGCAGCAGCAGCAGCAGCAGCAGCGGCAGCAGACTTTTGCAAAAATAGTTCATTAACAATTTCCAGCAGCGACGCCGACTGGGGGGCCCTGGAGACAAGAAGAAGCGTTACGTCTTTGCTGCTGCTGCTGCTGCGCTTGCTACTGCTGTTCTTGCTGCTTCTGCTGCAGTTGCTGCTGCCGCTGCTGCTGTTGCTGCAGATTTGCTGCTGCTGGTGCTCCAGCCGCAGCACCTGCCCGTGGCGCTGAGAGCAAGCACCAAAGAGTCCCGTGCACTGTTGCTGCTGCTGCTGCTGCTGTTTGTGCTGCTGTGGCTGCAGCGCCTGCAAGAAGTTGACGTGGCGCTGCAGCAGCTGCTGCAGCAGCAACCCCCCGAGTACATCAGCAGCAGCGAGAGATGAAGAAGCACAAAAGTGGGCCTCCATTGGCAGTAGCCATTTCGCAGGCGGAGTAGCAGCAGCAGCAGCAGCAGGTCCTGCTGATGACTTTCTCGCTTCTGTTGCACCGGTTGCTGCTGCTGCTGCTGCTGCTGGAGGTGCAGCCACGGCGGGAGCAATGCTGCTCGTGCTGCTGGCCGCTGTGGTGCAGTTGCTGCTGCTGTTGCTGCTCCGGCTGTCCTGAGTTGCCTGTTTTCCACTGCTTGTTTTGCTGCTGCTGCTGCTGCCGGTGTTGCTGCTGCTGCTGCTGCAGTCATCCTTAGCTGGTCCTACAGATGAGCGCTGCAGCCCATAGGTATCGAGGGACATAAGTAAGCTGCTGTTCGTGCTGCTGCAGCTGCTGCTGCTGCTGCTGCTCAGCGTACCGCAAGCACGTTGGCTCTGCTGCTGCTGCTGCTGCTGCTGCTGCAGCGGGTGCAGCGCAAGTCTGCGGTTGCTCTTGCTGCTGCTCTTGCCGCTGTGGCTGCTGCTGCTGCTGCTGCTCGTTTGTGGGGTACTCAAAGGCATCAGCGCCTTTCGGGGCTTTAGCTGCTGCTGAGGAGCAGCAGCGAGACTGCTGCCGCTGCTGTCGCTGCTCTTCACAGTGCTGCTGCTGCTGCTGCAGCAGCAGCGAGCCAAGGATCGGACGCAGAAAAGTTTAGCCAGCAGCAACTCCCGCAGCGCAGCACCGCCGGCGTTGAACTGCAGCAGCAGCAGCAGCAGCAGCAGCAGCAGCAGCACATTAGCAGTAAGGGGGGGTGCTTAGGTTCTCACCGGGAATGCGACGGGCCATGAAAGCCAAACCGTAAACCCTAAACCCTGCAGCCTAAACCCTAAATCCTAAACCCTAAAATGAAAACCCTAAACCCTAATTGTCTCACAAAGAGTTTCGCCGTGACAGGTAAGGGAGCTGATGCTGCAGGATTATCTGCAGCAGGCAGCAGCAGACCACTGAAGCATTTTGGCGCTGCTGCTGCTGCTGCTGCTGTTGCTGCTGCTGTTACGCAAGGCTCTTTTGCAGCTTGTGCAGCAGCAGCAGCAGCTGCTGCTGCTGCTGCTGCTGCATCCTCGTCTTCTTTAAGCAGAAGCAAACGGCGAGGGGGCCTGCTGCTGTCTTGGCCCTGAAGCAGCAGGAATGGTGCCGCTGCTGCTGCTGCTGCTGCAGAGCCCCGCGTTGTTGCTGCTGTTGCTCTTGCTGCTGCTGCTTCTGCTGCGATCGCAGAAAAGACTTCATAATCAAGAGGCAGCGTAAAGCGCGTCCCTGCTGCTGCTGATGGTGCTGCTGCTGCTGCTGAAGCAGCCGAATTAAGGAGCTTGTGCGCGAGCTCCCCGCTGGTGCTGCTGCTGCTGCAGCCTTTGCTGCTGCTCCTGCTGCTGCTCCTGCTGCTGCTCCTGCTGCTGCTCCTGCTTCGGCTGCTGGATGAGCGGCATAGGGCTCTCGGCATGCGGCAGCAGCAGCAGCAGCAGCTGTTGCTGGTGCTGTTGCAGCAGGAATAGCTATAAACCCCAAACGATGGAGTTGTAGGGGGAACGAACGACAGCAGCAAAGGCAAGCTGCTGGTTTTGCTGCTGCTGCTGCTGCTGCTGCTGCTGTAGGGCTGCTGCTCCCGCAGCCGTTGAACTTCGTGCAGCACTTGCTGCTGCAGCAGCTGCCGGTGGGTCGGAGCTGCAGCAGAAGCCCTGCTGCTGCTGCTGCTGCAGTGACCCAGCATTGCTGCGAGGGGCGGCAGCAGCAGCATAGTTGCTGCTGCTTCGTCTTGCTGCTGCTGCCACTCAGCGCTGCACAGCGGGACAAACCTGCAGCAGCAGCAGCAGCAGCAGCAGCAAGCTTGGGACGCAGTGAAGAGCCGAAAGGGTTTAGGGTTTAGGGTTTAGGGCTCAGGACGTGCCTGTTTCTGCTGCCAATTAGAGAGAAGTCAACGGCTGTTGCTGCTGCTGCTGCTTCTTCTGGGAGCAGCTGCTGCTGCAGCACATGCAGCAGCAGCTGCAGCTCCTCGTTCTTGATTTCCTCTGCAGCAGCAACACCAGCAGCAGCAGGATGCTTCCTCGTCGCTGCTGCTGCTGCTGCTGCACTGAGCTGAAGCTGCTGTCTCAGCGAGGGGAGGGGCAGCAGCATTTGCTGCTGCTGCTGCTGCTGCTGCTGCAGCACGCGGGCCACCCGGCTGTCGCTAAGGCTTTTTCCCAGGTGCTTCTGCAGCAAGCCTTCGAGAAGCTGCTGCTCCCGCTGCCCCCCACCCTGCTGCTGCTGCTGTTGCTGTTGCTGTTGCTGCTGCTGCTGCTCCTGCTGCAGGTGCAGTCTTAGCTGCGGAGGAGATTGCGGTGTATCCGCAGTCTGCTGCTTCGGCTGCCTCAGAAGACGCGCCTGCTGCTGCTGCTGCTGCTGCTGCGGCTGCAACTGATGTTGCTGCATTTGCTGCTGCTCTTTTCTGTGCGGTTGCTGCTGCTGCTGGTGGTTAGTGAGAACCTTCGACTTCCTCGCTGTTGCTGCTGCTGCTGCTGCTACGGGAGTGTCTGGGAAGCGGGCAGCAGCCGCAGCAGCAGCAGCAGCAAATACGGCAATCCGACTGCCTCAGCAGCATCAGCAGCAGCAGCACAACCCGCTTGTCTCTGGCTCCCTCTGCTGCAGCGGAAGCAGCAAAAGCAGCGAGAGCAGCAGCAGCGCGGGCTGCTGCTGCTGCTGCTGCGGCTGCTG